CAGGCATGTCCGTTGTTCGGAAGAATCGAGCAAGCAAAGGTGGTGGGGTAGCCCTCTACTTTCGTAACAACATGCAACGCGAACCCATAAACGATTCGGAAACTGACGTACCTGACTCCATTTGGTGTAGGTTCCGGCTGAGAGGGAACGATCTTGGCCTATTGGTTGTTGTTTACCGCCCACCATCGTCTACTCCTGAAATGGACTGCAACTTGGTAACTGCGTTGAGGCAACTGATAAACAAGAAGTACAGTCACATTCTAGTCACCGGCGACTTCAGCATACGTGCTCTAGAATACCAGGAGAGCAATTCAAAGCAGACCTGCAAGATCTGGTTTCAGACTTCCGCTTTATGGCCACGTCACTACGCCCATCAGAATCAGGGGAGCTAACAGGCTATCAATATTGGACCGAATATTCACTAATGAAGTACTGATGGTCGAGAGAGTGATAACCGATACTTCTCTGGGTCGCAGCGATCATGCGACGTAGTGTTTCATTACATGTGCTACGCGGATTATCTTAAAGAGCATGCGGAGGAATATCATGTCGTAACCAACTATGACGACCTGTCCGACCTCATTGATGCAACCAGATGGTCGTTCTTAGCCGAATTGACAGCTGAGGTGGCCTGCGGATAATTCGTCAATATATTTAACAAACTCGTGGCGAGCACATCTGAAACCAAACATTACCGGCCTAAAAGGATGAAGTCTTTCGTAAGGAGCAGGACACGTAAATGCATGGCATTAAGGGATTTGGCAAGGCGCACCTACATAGCCTCCCCGAACGAGGACACATGGGATGTCTACACAATACAAAGGAACCACTGTGTCAAACTCGTCCGGGAGGATAAACTGAAGAACCAACAAGGTCTAGTAGAAAAGTTGTGCTCCAATCCAAGACTGCTATATAGATACGTAAACAATTTGCGCCGTGTTAAGCGCGGTATTTCTGCTCTGCACACGGGTTAGCCCAAACCGCACAAGAGGCGGCCAAGGTTCTTGGACAACAATCTGACCGTACCTTCCAAAGTTTGCAATCATCATACATCCTGCCTAAGCAGATAATGCCGTCATCAGGGCTTAATCACATATCGTTCACCTCCGCAGCTGTACTGAAGTGGCTGATGTCTCTGCGCGAGTTCAGCTCCCCGGGTGCGGACGGCATTCGCCCGAAGGCGTTGAAAGTTGCTGCCATGAGTTTGGCGGCACCACTAGCAATTTTCTTTCAACGATGTCTGAACGAGATGCACGTCCCCACGATGTGGAAGCACGGAATCATCACGCCAATCTACAAAAGTGGCAGCCGTGTTGAACCAGCAAATTATCGCCCGATAATACTACTTCCTGTGATCTCCAAGGTTATGGAGTCCATTATAGCTGAGGCTTTGATGGGGTAGCTGGAGAACAACAAAATTCTCGTTCCGGAGCAGCACGGATTTCGCCAAAATCGGTCCTGTACAACTAATCTGTTGATTACTCGTGCAAGCTGGATGGAATCTGTGGACGCTGGTGTAGGAGTCGACGCGGCCTACTTGGATTTCGCAAAGGCATCCGACCGTCTAGACCAGCGAATTCTCCTTTACAAACTCTAGAAATATGGAATCGGCGATCCTGTTCTGGGCTGGATAGGTGACTTTCTCGTGCAACGTCACCTGAATGTGAGGGATAGAAGAAACCTATCGGAATCCATCGTAGTTCAGTGCGGCGTACCTCAGGGCTCGATACTTGGACCCCGCCTGTTCCTGGTTTTCATAAATGATCTCGCGAGCGTGCTATCTTCCAACTGTTTGCTATTTGCTGATGACCTAAAGGTATGGCGTACTATAGCTGCAGTGGAGGATCACACATTCTTACAGGAGGACCTGGACAAAGCGTACACATGGTCCATCGAGAACATGCTGCATTTCAACGTCACCAAGTACAAAGTTCTCAGCATACGGCACAAGAGTATGCACAAGTACCGCCTAGGACCACAATTCTACAGCAGGCTTCTCATGAGCACGAGCTCGGCGTCCTAGTTCAAAATGAAGTCGGTTGTTTGAGGCAGACTGAAAAGGCAGCTAAGAAAGCAAACCAGTATCTCGGCCTTCTTCGCAGAGCTTTCGGGAAGTTTGACCCACCAGTCTTTCCAAAAATGCTTAGTGCGTACGTAAGGCCACACGCGGAATACGCTATTCAAACGTGGCAACCCTGGCTTAAGCACCATCTCACCGTGCTCGATACTGCACAACGTAGGGTAACGAAGAGCGTTAGAGGTTTGAGCAGCCTCCTCTACCCACTCAGGGTGAAGACTCTCAAAATATACAGTGGACGTTATCGGAGCCCAAGGGGCGATCTCATAATGGTGTATCAGATCCTGAGAAACCCCAACCACCTACGCCATTCCTTTTTGATACTCAGTCAAAACACCCCGCTAAGAGGTCATCAGTTTTATCTGGTCACGCAATACAGCTGACTGGAATGTCGGCGAAACTTCTCCTTTCGAGTGTTATAGCCTTGGAATGCCCTCCCGGAACATGGAATTAATGTTCCCTTTTCAAAAAACGCCTTAACGAAATTCTGTCACATTTATACCACGTGCTATAGCCCATGACCACCAGATGCTGACACTAATGCACACCAGAGACAGTGCCATAACCCTACTCGAGAATAAGTCACTCCAAACCCCCTGCACACAATTTGATAAACGTTAATACTGTAGAAACTGGATTTCTGTATCCCGTCAACCCGAGATAGCTGCACATGAGTAAGCGCTGCCCTCGCTATCTTTTTCTCGCTTATTACGTGATAAATAACCACTCCCCTTATTGCTTTGTGTGAGTACATGCTAATTTCATACTCCCTTTACACGGCAGTACAGTTAAATCTGTAATCGCTCGAACCGACGATTCCATTATCCCTTGATCTGTCTTTTTTCACTCTAACCACCGCACAGGACATGACATGCACCTGCTTTTTTACCCGTTATAAATCATTGTTCAAATGTTCACATATCTCATGGGAACACTTTGCTTCGCAGGTATTTCGAACAGAATGCATCGATCGACTGAATCGAACGCTGGTTTGAAGTCGAGGAACAAAGTTATTGTCGGTCTGCGAAATACGTGGCGCTGCTCTAGCACCTGTCACAGAGTGAATACATGGCCTAAACAGCTAAGTCCAGAACGAAAAACTGCCTGCTCTTCCCTAATCGAGAATTCCCGTTCTGCAGTGATGCGACGAACATGAGTTGGGGCCTGAAATTTCGTCACCGCTGGCACTAGGCTAATTCCCCTGTGGTTAGCACAGTCGGTGTAGCTGCCCTTACTGTAGATTGCCAGCACAATCGATTCACTACAGTTAGTTGGGATGGTCTCTTCCTTCCAGACCTGCTGGAACAGGGAAGTCAGTGAGTTGCAGATGACCTCAAATCCAAAGGAACATGTCTCATTCACTCATTGTAGCCATGCAAACACGACTTGTAACAACAAGAGAAATCTGCTCCTGGGGCCAGAGTTGTCACAAATTGGTGGGGGAAATTCTGGTTTTTGCAATGCACTGGCTAATTTCAACAGTTATGTCTTTCGATGCCAATGCAGCAGCTAAAACAGGCGTATAAATCAACTGTCACCATCTCTCACCACGAGTATCAAGTGTTTGGTAAGGTAGTAACTGCAAATGCAAGCACATGACAAATGGTGTGACTACTCAGGAGAGTTCATCTAGAGTTACCTTCTTGCGATTGCTAATAAATGAAGCGATGACATTTGCGCAAGCTACAATAGCTGCATTGTGAGATGCCACAAAAGAACATTTCAGGAGTTGGCCCGTGGTAAAGTCTGCTAAAAATGAAGAAATTGTACAACCTTGAATAAAGCCACTCGTTTGGAAATTGTCTAACAATTCGTAATGAACTTTCGAGCAGAACGGAGCGATCGACTCACCTAAAGGCATTACGAAAGTTCAAGAATATGGCTGCGGCGCCACCTGGTGCCGGTTGTAGAATGAAACTGTGATCTATACAATCCAAATCAGATAGGAAACCTGTCTGCTCTTCTCTCCTCTAGGATTCTGTTTCCGCTGTGAGGCAGCGGAGGAGAATGAAGGAACCAAACTGATAACGTAGTGGTTAGCACGATGTTACGACTTCTGTCCTGCATACTCTTATCAACCGGTGCCCGAAAGGATTGCGTTTGCCTTGTAATCCGGAAGACACCGGTTCGAATCTGTGTAGGTGAGGGCGACCTAGTGATACATCCAGCTATCATGCGACCGGGGATATTCACCCGGTAGCGAAGCGTCGGTACAGTGTACCGACGTACTGTCGACGCCTGTTTGTTGTGACCGGTTCATATGGTATCATCTAGGACGATCTCCTGACTCCAAAATAGTTTGAAGAGATGGGCCAACAACCTGCTGAGGACCTAACCACCACCGTAAACAGCAAGAATAAAAGACAACCCGGAACGGTAGCGAGGAGTAAGTGGGATCTGTGGACGCGTTTCGAACCTCAGAATCAGTTAGAGCCAACAAATTAACCGGTCAGGTCCAACTTCCGTTGTCTAGACACGAAACAGAGGCAGAAAGTCAACGGAATTACTTTTGAAGGTGGTCTGTCCAGTGAGTGAGACAGTGTTCCTTCTCGTAAATTGGAGCGCTAGTTCTACCGCTTATTGCCTCACTGACGCCTGAGCTCATGCCTCAGTGCAGCGAATGTTGAAGGAGCACAAACATTTACACAATGCTCATACCCCCCATCACCCGGGAACTAAATCTTCCAGGCTTTTACACAATTTAATGGAAAGGAACACAGAGGGACAATTATGATGTTTCGGTGTGCGATACTCTGAACTTTCAGAGCTCTCAAAACCTCTCATGTTCGGAAAGCAAGTATAAGGTTGAATAGTCAGGTTGAGATAGCTCCAACGATTGCATTCTGAGAACTGAGTTTGAGTAACACTTATCGACTGCTCGATATAAAATACTGCCAACAACTGGAAAACTTGATGCGATTATGATTAACTCCTTTTATTTACACGAAAGTACCTTAATTCAGTCAATTAGTTACAGCGCGTTGCTAATGGCTCTCATCGTATTGAGTTGAAAAAACGAATGCATTCATTAAATGGTACCTGAAGCCAACGGAAAATTAACGATGCTAACCCGAGAGACATTGTTCGAGGAGCTGGGCATGAACATTCACATCTGGCCACTAAAATCCCATGATCACCAGGTTCTACGCGAACAAGTATCACATAAGATTGGATGGATAAGCCGAGCCGTCCGAATAAACAACACGCGTAACAAGCGCGATGCATAAAAAGTGCGGGAGTAAGCAAAAGTTCAAAAAAGCACCCAGAAAGCCTTAAAACTTGAGGCTCCGGTAGTCGTGCAATTGTTTTTCGAAGAAAGGAGGTAACAACGAATGAAAGACCGTTACAATAGAAATGATGTTCGTAACCGGGTGAATTTCGAAATAAATTCGTACATAGCGATCAAGTTCGATTGATCAGGGGTCTAGCTTAGATTGCTAGCGAGATGAATAAAAAAATAATAAAACGAAAAGCGAAGTGCACTTGGAGAGCAAAATGTTGAACGAACAAGCTGGTAAGCGTGCATTGATGGGTATAAAGAGGGCAGAATGGTTGGCACAGTGGATAAGGACTGTCCCGGTCATTCGGAAGGAGGTTTCGTTTGTTCCATTTTGGATACCAGCAGCAACTGGGCTAGGAGTCGAAACAGAAGGCTAATATCCACATCCATGCTGCCCCCAGTGACCAGGAGAGATCGTGAACGATTCTCCGGTGGAATGGGTAATACACTAATATCGTCGGAAGAACATGCGCCGAACAATTCATCATGATCGCTATCGACGACGGAATGACGTACTAAATTCGTAGAAAATGGAGGATAGAAGTTAGGTATTGAGGGCTGTTCGGTTGGACACTTCGGGGCGACTACCTGTAATAGAGAGATAGAGAGAAACGTTTCGACTATCGTGTGGAAGAACTGAAACTGCACTAAGGCTATAGACAAAGGTAACAGCAAATCTTGCCCCTTTTTCAAAGTACGTATGGCATCTAACCTAAAGGTATATGGAACGCAAACAAGTTGGTTGCGTAAGTAGCATGCAAAGGACTATTGCAATACACTTGGAACCGATCGGGAAGTCACGTTTTCGGAGGGAAGTGAGAATTAACGGATGATGTTTATATTTGGTAACGTCTCCCATTTAACGCAAAAGCTATGTCAGCTCAGGTGAACTGGGTAAAAGACTTACTAAAGTGACAGAAAAATGAAAAAGGCGCGTAGTTATGCGGTGTACTAAATCGTTTGGGAACTACACAACTGCAAGAGCAAATTCCGAGCGGAGACATGAAACAGAGACGGTTCTAAAGAAAGGTAAGTGAAAACGATAGTACGTGGAAGCCAAGTGAACCTAAAGACACAAGTCCAAACTAAGGACTGCATAAACACAGTCGGATCCAAACCTGCTGGCGTCAGTAACAGACATAATACGTGATTTGCACCAAAGGATCAACGGTGTAGGAGGTGCCCCGGTTTAATCGATTGGAGGCTGAATGTGCGAGAACCACCGAAGGTTCTGGTGAACAGTTGCCTTGGAGATCAAAATGTTCCCAAAGATCCATTCTGTATATGTCCATGGTCGGAACCCACACCCACAAACACAATAAGTTGCTCGATTGAATGATACAATGAACAGAACACAGGTTAAAGTACAACTATCCGGTATCCTTCAACCAAACCAATGAAGAAAGGATTTCCACAAACCAAGCAACATTGTTGCGATTGCAGTGATAACCTCGGTAAATGTGCATAGGCGTCAGGCAGGAGAATAAGGCACTTCAGTTTCAGTGAGTACTATTCCTTTGGTTAACCAGCGAGCGAGGAGCACATAGGTGGTTAAAGAGTGATGATAGCAGAGTTGATAGTATCCGCTACCCAGTGCTTAGGCCGGAGGCATGGAGTGAATGGAGACACATATGAAGATGGGGAAAAAAGGATCAAAATAATGGCTGATGATAGTCGCCCTTACACTTGAAACGGGGACTCATCGACAGTGTCGAAGTGCACCGTTTAGACCAGAGAAGAGTAGTTAGAGCAACCAGGATGGTGGGCATAGAAAGCGCGCATCCAAATGACAAAATAGTGAGCAGTTCAGTTCAGTTAAACAACTGATCCGGGCACCGAAGTGCGGTGGATCCAACTTGAGCTGTCAGGTCAATGGGGAACAAGCCCCGTATTGCGTGTACCATGCAACAAAAGTTACGCAGGCATTGGGGTCATAAGGAAATCCGAGATGTTGAGAGTAATCGGATCAACCGATTGAGAGCTACCAACGAAACCCGGTTGAATGAAAAAGCTGAACAGTTTATCAGTTAATAAGGATATTCATTTCAGCTGTTGGTGTGACATCTGCTTCAAATCAGCGCATTCGACTGCCACGGATTAAAAAAACACTCCGTCGCCCATTTGTTATGGCCCCCTTCGTCAGACGAACCCAATGACCTCACTAAGTCCCGCTCACACGAGTCGAGTGGACGACTACGTGTTTCGGGCCGATTACGACCGCATGAAACTTAGCCGCCGTGTGGACGATGAGCGGACATCCTGCCAACTGGTGACGCACCCACGCGATCCCACGACCATACCATGGTTATAAAGAGAAAGACAGGGCTTTCGTATGAACGCTTTTACTGACCCAGTGAAAGGCAACATAGGTCGGGACACCCCGTTATTTACAGCACCGTTAGATCTGCCCACTTGTTGCGATTCCGAAAAACGCACGTAATTGCTCCACACTGTTAACCTAATCAGATGAAAAATCAGAAGTCAAAAAAAACCGACAAAACAACGAGTTAACCGCTGCCAAAACACTGTACAAGTTAAGCAGACCTTGTTCGATTTTATAGGCCACTTAATGACCGACTTCTAGGGTAGGAAGGTCAACTAGCAGATCTAGCAGTGCCATACCGATTCAACTAATCTTCAGGCTGGCAGTCACATGTAATGCTTGGAACCTTCCAGAATATTCGGAATCGATGAGATAATGGATTAATCGCTGAAATAATGTTTCCGGGAAATACTTACCTCTTCCAGAACAAGCATAAATGACTCACTACGCCGGGTATGGGTTTTATCGAGATGAAATTACCTACGTAAACCCGCTGCGCTGTGGTTTGGAAGTTGTGTGGCCACAGTACATGTCACGCGGCGTAACCCTTTGATTACCCATGCGAGAATTGAAGTCCGTGCCGTGGGTGTGTAGTTTCGCGGAATCGACATTCCCTCAACACCCTCATACCAGATTGGTTAGGTGTTCAGTCAACTCATCGCCCTCTCTACCATCCGCCTCAAGCCAGGAAGCTGCTGATCAAATGGGTGCAAACTCGCCAACTTCTACCTGGGGTCGACCGTGGTCGCAGGTCGTAAAACAAGTGAATTGTCCTAAATCTGCAAGGATATCATGTAGTAGGCAGCAAACAGATCCCAGTGGGTCTGCAGTACGTTCTTGTGTTGAACTTGCTTCCCCCTGCCATGTGGGTTAGACTGTTGAGTTGAAGGGCATCTCGAACGAAACCTCTCTCAGAATGGGCAGCGAGAGTATCATCTGCTCTCTTAACACCGTCGCCAGTATTACTATGCATTTTCTCCAATATGTAACTCTCATACTCCGTCTGTCGAACAAGGGGCTGCCAATAACCTACCAACTGCTGCTATCGATACATGGAACTCATCCTTCAAACCAAGGTTCTCATCTCAAATTGGTTCATTTGACGTCAGTGCTCTGGGACAGCTCGATCAACAGGTAACACTAACTCACTCTCGTCGTATTTATGTCTGCTGTAGCTCCGAAACACGCATACAAGTTAACAACGTCGTAGTCGACTTCCTGCTTCTGAACCTGTAGAAAATGAGTACACTCTTCGCGCCTCTGGAGTTATTGAGCCAACGGTTAAAGGTAGTTATAATGTCGGTATCGACTTCACTAAACATGCTGAATGAGATCTAGATGACATCATGTCAGTAAACAGTCGCATGTGTGCAGAGTTAACAAGCACCATATGAAGACAACGTGCCTTTTCGTCGCTTCCGCTTACGTCCCATCGACCGCAGTTCTGAGGGTATGCAAGATAACCTCATGGTAAGCTCTCATTTCTTATCCGAATGACAATTATTATTACCGATAACATTAATATCTAAATCGGTCGCCTTTCGGACTCTGAACAACACTAAGGAGGTCGTTTGTGGGTCAATGCATGACGAACAGACAAAACCGATCGATTCCTGTAACCATGTGCCGAGCAGCCTTTCTAAAGAAATAAACGGTATATTCTCGAAATGCGAGGAACGCCTGCATAAACATGACTATTGTAAAAGTACATGAATGATATGTAAATGTACAGAAACGTTGCAAGTTCACTGGTAACGTTAAATCTTGTTGCATGAATACATGAGCGTATTTGTGTACGTCGATAGGCGCGAATGGCGTGAGTTGATTAAGTGGCCGGTTGCCTAGGTACAGAAGAAAGCACTGTTACATGCAGAGGGGAAAGGCAGGGTAGGGAAAGGATAGGCGCCGATGGAGTCTAGCCCAGAGACGTCAAGGGTATGGTGCTGTAGCATCTGCGGTTGCGAGTGCCTGATCCGAGCGGGTTTGGTAAACCACCAGCGTTTCCACGTGGGGCCAGCATCCAAGAAGAGTCAACTGATTATCTAAGCATAAGCAATGTAACGATTGGTATGTGCGCTGCGTCCGCATCCATTAGATTCACTGACGCAGGCCAATAAGGCGTTTGATGTGGTATGTGTGTCGCATCATTGCATTTGGTATGTACGTGCGCCTGTGCGTTGAGCATCTTGCATTTCAAGGGTTGGTTGTTGACTGATATCCCCGGGGTGGCTGCGCTTGATGTGAATGTTGACAAGGTGTCTACTAGTCTATTACACACCGCCTCCTCCATACTGGCTCCAGGAGATAGGTGATCGTTGCTGGACCGGGTGCACGGTCCTCCTGGCCGTGCGAGGCTCAATGAGTGGTTCCATCCAATGTGGAGCGGACTACAGCCCAGCCATTGCTTTGTGTATGTCTGGCATGCATGATTCCCAAATTAGGTAGACAGAAATACTTCTGCTGTGCATGCTGAAGGAGTGTGAGTCAGCTCCATCGATGAAACGTGGCTCCCATCCTCATACCTCCTGGTCTTATTCCTCCGGGTTTACATTGGATACGGAGTGTGTGGATGGAGATGTGGGCGGTGTAGCGCAAGCCACCTATGGTCCCACTTGTTGTAACGCTGCTGTTCCCCTCTGCTCTCTGCCAGTGATAACTGTTGTACTGCTGCTTTGCTGCCCTGTGAGACTGCGACTGTCTGATTGCTCAGTCACGCGCCGAGACAACCGAAGGAATACAAAAGGCTAGAACTCGGTAGACAGAGAGTATTTCTCCAGGAGAGGTTAACTCTATTCATTGGTAAACGAAACATTCTAATTTAAGAGGTCAAGGTCACTCAGTCTTCTGGGTCTGGTTTTCAGTCAGTGTTAGTGAACTCCGCTCCACAGGTTTATCATATTGACGGGATAGTTCGATTCCTTTGACGCGGGCTGGCATTTCCTGGCCGTTCAATCCTCACTCGATTTCCAAATGCAGTGGAAAGGTCAAAACTCGTAGCACACCCGTGCTGATGACCTTTGCATGTAGCGGACAGCCTACGTGCTCCGCTTACGCCTCTATTACCTCCCCTTTCGAATTGAGTATGCCAAGCGTACTGTTCGAACTCGACTTTGTCCATAGATTTTCGCTTTGGGATCAACTTATAGACATTGTGGTCGTCCCGCTTCCGGGCCGGCGTGCATTGTGTATCAGCTGATGCTTGCAGATTCTGTTGTGATTCACGTAGCCGCTCAGCTTCCTCTCCAAACCAAACGTGTCTAGCAGA